GCCCAGAAGGCCCTGCATTCGACATTTCATTAAGTGGGGGCTATACAGTTTCAGCATGCCAGCTGGTTGGGTGCACGCCAGTTGGTTGGATGCACAAAGTCCAGAATTCTGCAAATGCAGGTTGGATGCCGAATTTGCCAAAGGGAAACCCGGTCCACTGTCTGAATCTGGACGATGATCAGGATGAAAGAGGCACAACTGTGCAGCCTGGGCCCTTAACTGTACTGCGCCTGGGCAGAGCAACTGGGACCCAGGCCCACGCTATCTACTTTTGCTTTGTCTACATGGACTTCAGTGTGATTTGCAGTTTGGATTTCTGATCTTCATCCACATTCATGTTCCTTGCATCAGTGGGAGATCCCCCAAAAAGTGGCAAAATGCCAAAAACATTTTTTTTTCCATAAATGCTCCGAATCACCCCAAATTGTTTTTGGGGGATCTCCTAGTCTTGCGCAAGAACATCCCTTTTTTTTTTTTCTTTTTTTTTTTTCAATGCCAAAAACCACTTGTCCGGGATCCCGGACAACTCCCATACCGGACGGTTGGGGGAGACGTCCGGCCGAGACGTCCGGTCATCGGACGACTGGTAACCTAGCTTTTTTTTTGTTTTGTTCTTTTGTCTTTTTTTTTCTTTTTTTTTTCCCAGAAAACTCAGAACCTTTTGGTTCTGGCTCCTGCCATTCTGGGGAGCGACAGTCCGGTTCCTATTCCCCCGGCAAGTCAATATGGGAAAACATGGATGACTCACGCACGCTCCTCCCCATTATGGTTGGGAGGTCCGAGTGGACGGGTACCACCCCTCACCCCTGCCTGGTTTAGCCTATGCTATTTGCTCCGCCTGGCTGATGTCCTCCTGCCTGTACCCAGTCCCACTCCTCTCAGCTGTGGTGCTGTCGGATTGTTGTGTCATGCTAGAGCGGTCTGAAGAGTCTATGAATCTGTTTAATTCTCTGACATCCTAGTCCCTATGTGTTATGTTCTTGTCTAGCCTGAAACCTGAACCCTCGATCTAAAACCCTAAACCCTTGCTGGCTGTAGTGTGTCTTTACGGTCTGTCTTTGTCCGACTTTTTGGGTTGACTCTGTTGAGCATGCCTATGGTTTCTTGGTGGGGTAGTTTGGGTGGGGGGGGCAGTGTCTGAAGTAGTTTGTGTAGTGGTGAAGGTTTTGGATTCTGGGTCGGTGTGCTTGGGGCTGTAGGCTTGGGGCGGGAGAGGGAGGGTAAAAGTGGTAAGGGTGTTTTGTTCTTTTGTCTGATATGGAAAAAACACCAAATTCGGGAAACGTTTTGCCGAACTTCGAAAGCTACTTCGAATAGGGTTTTATAGTGCTGTTCAATTTATTTATTTTTGTTTTGTTTGTTTTTTTTATGTTTGAATTATGAGCCTGCATGGTTTGTTGGCAAAAGTTTCGACGACATTGCTTGCAGTGATGCGGCGAAAAAACCCGAATTTTGGGCCTTCCATTAACCGCGTGTCAATGGATGACATGGGGAATCGAACCCACGATCTCCTCCTGCGTACCACTTACGTGCTCAACCAACTGAGCTAGGACTTCAGCTGTGCGAGCTGTATCTTAGCTCTCAGAACTAAATCCGATACACATGCAGGGATGTGTTTTTTAAACTTTTTTTTCTTTTCTTCTCTGCTCCCCCCAGCCTTTTTTTTTTTTTTTTTTTTTAATCTTGATTGTTTGTTATTTGATCCATGATTGCGTCTGCCTCCACCTCACACGTTCGTCTATTTTTGTCTCTCTCTTATTTTCTGTGCTGTTGCTTTGGACATTGCAATGATGATTGAACACGTACTTTGATAATACAGATCTGCGAGGTCCGCCACTTGATTGGGAGAAGCGAATGCGCATTGCAGTGGGAGTTGCTGCAGGGCTGGAGTATCTTCATTCCTGGTCAGATCCACCAGTTATCCATCGAGACGTGAAATCCAGCAATGTACTTCTGAGCGAGAACTTCACTGCCAAAGTACTATCTTAATACCACGTGTCACCTTAACTGTGTATTGCTCTGCTGTGTGCTCCTCCTCCTCCTCCTCCTCTTGCCTTTTTCTCTCACAAGCCCCCTTTCCCAGCCTGTGGTGTGCCCTCTCCCCAACTCTCTCTTGTATCGGCTCTCTCCACACGGTTTGCTCATCTCGTCAGGATATTCCTTCAGGAGGAGGAGGAGGAGGAGGATATCGGAAGCATGTAGTGGGGGGAGGAAAGGTGACCAGTCTTTTTAAGGTTCAACTTGGTTCAACTTGGTTGAGAAAAACTTAAAACTTGAAAAAGCATGTGTATTTTATAATTTTATTTGATTTTTTCGTGTGTGTGATTTTTTTTTTTTTGTGTGTGTGGTTACTGTGGTCCGATGGTCCACGGATCACATATTAAAGTTAATTAAACTGACCAGAACAGAATCAACAGATACTACACTTGATCTTAGCCAAAAGGCCAAGAAAAAGCATGTTTTTTTCTTTAGCTCTGTTTTTTGTTGTTTTTTTTTTATGGTGAAGAACTGTGATTTCTGTCTCGTCTGAGAGGACACAGGTTGAGAAACGCATTTATGTGTTTTTAACTACTGCTTAATATGTATGTATGTCACAGCCCACTGTTTCTTGTCTTTTTTTTCTCCCTTTCTGCCTGCGGTTCACCAGGCAGTTCTCTATGACGATATAGAGAGAGGGTTCAGCCTTGTGATGAGTCGGTGAAATTCCGATGAAACAGTCTGCCACAGCCCCTCATTTGTTGTCCTCCTCTCCCTCTCTGCCTACGGTTTACCTCGCAGTTTTGTTTGACGATATATATCATACATGCAGCGCATGCAGTGCGCGGCCCCCACGCCCATGCGGCGCATTGCGCACAGCGCAGCATGCGCCGCACCCCAAAAAAAAACATGGTCGGAGGGGGGCGGGGGGAGGGGGGGGAACTCACGGGGGTCGATACCAGGCTGCCCCTCTTCCCTGCCAAAAATATTTAAACGGCAAGAAAAAAAGTTTTTGATGCCGTGCGTCAGCCCGGAAAAAAAATTCGAGGAAATCTGGCAGACCTCCGCCACCCATCCTTTTTCCTCCCCCGGATGAATCAGGGCAATTACTATTGCCAGATACGTTGGCAGCGTGCGTAAATGGTCGTTGAATCAGGGCACTTTCACGTGAGAAGCAGCCTGACACGTGAGTGGGCGGACCGAACTCCCTCCTCATACAAGATCTTTCAGCCGGCTCGCTCAAGAGTCAGCCTGCCCTCTAATGCGAAAGTGAAGTGATGCAACGGTCACTTCTCCTGAAAGAGGGCCTCGCTCCACTACTCTCCCATGCACGAAAGACGGAAAATATGGTGGTGTATCTTTCCATGTTCTAGCCGAAGATTCATTCTCATTTGCAAATTTGTTGAGTAGTGGAGCGGGCCCAGAATCAGCGTATATCTCAAGATATGTCTTTTTTGAGTTTTTCTTTCTTTCTTTCTTCTTTACTGGGGGCCATTTCTTGATTTATTCTATCTTCTCTGTATCGTTCGATCTGGACGACCACATACATCTATTGTTTGAGGACAAGTGGCTGTTGCATTAGAGGCCGTGCCTGGTGTATTTTTTTGACGTCCCCTCATGATGACTGTATCCAACCTGAAATGATGACTGTATCCAACCTGAAGGATAATTGCATCCATGGAGAACAGCTTCAACCCTCACATCATTTTCATGAATGTATACCAACATCTTTCAGGTCACGTACAGTCATCAGAAGGGGGCCTGAGAGGGCGGGCCTTAAGATGCTTGTACGGCGTCGCTCGACCACTCAAACACACATGCACAAACAACAACAAAATATGGCGGTGTATCATCTTCTATTCTAGCAGACGATTCGTTCTCATTTGCACATTTGGAGAGTAGTGGAGCGAGGCCAGTACTCAGACAAACGTGGAACAAAGGCAGTGTGAGAACAAAAGGGTCGTATTCATCCCAAGGTGATAACTAAATCACGCCCTCTTTTTCTTTTTTTCTTTTTTTTTCTTTTTTTTACCTTTGTTTTTTTTTTTAATGCGCGTGCATCATGGCAGTAGCACGCCGCACGGCGCAGTGCGCTTATGTGCGAGGTGTGCGGTGTGCGTGCAGTTGTGCGTGCATAGCAGATTCCCGCATCACGTATAACACACCGCAACGTGCGGCGCACTGCACGGATGCGCCGCAAGTCGGTGAAACTCCAACGAAACAGTTTGTCACAGCCCCTCGTTTGTTGTCCCCTTCTCCCTCTATGCCTACGGTTTACCGGGCAGCTCTGTTTGACTATATATTGCAATTTGTTCTTTCTGATGTTTTGTCTTGTAAGCTGGCCTCACCACTGACCTCTGATCCATTCATCATCATCATCATCATCAAAATGTCTTGTCTGGTGCCAAGTGTTATGCTTTGCTTGCTGCTCTAGCTTTTCATTAGTGGCCTTGTTTGCTGCCAAGTAATTGGCAGTGTAGACATTGCTGCTGGTGATCAGCGCCTCAAAGAGAGTGGTGGTGTAACTTTTTTACAGTTGTGGATCTTGCATTTGGCTGAACATGGTTGTCATTCAGGTCAGATGCATCAAGGAAAGCCCATCTGCTGTCCTTTGCGGGCCTGCATTTGTTTCCTCTTCCCTCTTTTGACAAGTGTGCATTTGTGTCTTGGTTGTCATTTCTGCAGGTGTCAGACTTTGGATTGTGTAAGGTTGCGTCATCCGGGACAGATATGTATACAAGCATGACTACTGATGTTATGGGTACTCCAGGTCAGTGAGGGAGTTGGTCTGAGGTCTTTTCTTCTCTTTCTTTTTCCTTTTTTTTCTGTTTTAGGGTCCGATGGACCCCCGATCAGATATTAAAATAATTAAACTGATAAGAACAGATACTACACTTGATCTTCGTTTGTCTTGTTTTTTTTTTTGGCTAAAAAAAGGCATGGAATAACAAACGGTCAGTGATACCGTGCTCTTTTTTAGGCATGAACTAAAGGTAGGGTCCCCATTTATCAGGGTCCCAATATGGGGGAAATGGATTGTCCATGGCCAATTGGTGATACTGGATCATGTCCGCAGGACGTGACTGTTCTCAGCTACTGAAAGTTGTTCGCAGTGGTTTTCAAGTTTGAGCGCGTACACCTTATGCTGCTTGCACCACCAGCGTAAGGGTGGAACTACCATCTTCACCCGAATAGAATGCCCGGTCATTATAGCTGTATTTGGCACAACTTCAGCCCAGATACTGCGATAATTACCGGGCGTTCTATTCGGGTGAAGACAGTAGTCAGGGTTGGAAGCATCTTTTCCCATTTGTGTACGTCACATCTTGCGTGTGAAACAAAGATCAGAAAGGAAAACGCTTGCAACAGGGATAGAGGAGAACTTGAAATCAGATCATGGAATGTAAGGGGCCTAGCAACCATCCTGTCGACACCAGCAAAATGGCACAGTTTCGTTGGCACGATAGTCTGGTTGGACAACAGACCGCCAGATATCCTATGCATCCAAGAAACTCACCTGGCCACAACAGAGGAACACCAAAGCACACTCAAAGAGATTCTAAGAAGACTGAAACATATCAAGCATGCAGAATGGGCAGTGAGCCCCACAGCAGCCTTAGCAGGGGTATTAACAATAGTACACAAGAAAGCAGATGCCTCCCAACTATTAGCAATAGGAAATTCCACGAGAGATAAAGAAGAAGGTCGTTGGACAAGAACAGACTTCGCCTACAGGGAAGAAGAGTTCTCCCTACTTAATATATACGCACCAAATACCAATACACAAAGAAGATCCTTCTTAGAAAGAATGAACCAGGAATGTCCACGACACAAACACCTAATCCTAATCAGGGACTGGATTGTCACAATAGAACCACATTAGATAGAATTTCACATACTAGGGAAGCAGCGGAGGAGTCGGAAGCTCAGGTAATGGTAGAATTCCTCAATGAAATGAACCTAAGGGACCCATATAGAATGCTAAACCCAACAACAAAGGATTATACATGTACAAGAAAAACAACTCAAGGAAGAACCTCATTCTCCATAATAGACTACTTCCTCATCTTTGAAACTCTAGAAGGCGCAGTTAAACGGCATCAATATCCAAGCTCCCCCACTATGGAGGATTTGACCACATTCAAATAGGTTTGCACCTCACTTTCTCCTTAGACAACACGTGGGGCAAGAGTTTTTTTTAATTGAACAATTCCTTAATCACCATGGATCATTTTAAAACAGGGATCAAAGAAGTTTGGGAACTCCACAAACAGGAAAATCACAGCACAGACATCCTATATAGCTTCCCGAAAGCAATTCAGGCAGTAAGCATGGTAACCGCCCGAACGTCCGGACCGGGTTCCAGACAGTCCGGTGTCCGGTGTCTGGTGTCTGGTGTCCGGTGTCCGGTCCCCATGTCTGGATGGAGGCCCCTGGGGCAAAAATCAAAAAAAGAAAAGGGGCGGCCCAGGACGTTTGTCGGGTCCTAGCCGCCCCTCGAAAAATAACGGGGTGATTTTTAAGTGTCCTTTCACCCCACCGGACATGGCCTAGAGGTCGAGACACAAGACACTGCAGGGTTTTGAGGTGGCGGGTTTTGCACAGGCCCGAGCGGCCGTTTCGACGTGGCGCCCACCGCTCCTGCCCGTTGAGGGGAGAGAGAGAGAGAGAGAGAGAGCACTGACGGTGCTGCCAGTCTGAAGACTCTGAGGTTCTGAATTGAACTGCGAAGTTCGAACTTTTAAGTTATATATGAAGTTATGAACTTGAATTACTAAATCCAAAGTTCAAAGTTCAAAGTTAATCATACTTTTTTTTTTTTGAAATTCTCTGTTTCTTTAGTTTTGTGCCTGCTTTGCACTGTTTGCAACTCTGCATGTCTGCTAGTTAAATGTGTTGGTTGATTTGTTGCAAGACACGTGCTCTACTGCTTGAACTATAGAGTGCAAAGCAGGTAAGTG